TGACAACTTCAGAAAAGGAATAGGTTTCTATTTATTTCACGTGGATATTGTCAGTTTTACAAAAATGATGGTGATTGATCATTGTTCTGATTTAAAAATCAGAATATTTTTTCAACTTCATTTCCAGACCCAATATTTGATTTCCATTGTTTTCAAAAGAAATGATCTAGAATTTTGATACAAATAAAACAATGTTTCATATCTTTCATCCATGGTAATTTAGGGAGAAGGCTGATAAGTTCCAATTTTTCCCTAGAACTGAGAACAAAAACACATTAAATTTGTCTTCTTGGCTTCAATCTCTGATAATGGCAATGAGCTGATCATTATCCTTTGTTTAAAATCATTACTGCCTTTATTTTCAAAATAAATCAGAAAACTTAATTTTCCTTTCATATTAGATATGTTATATATACAGAAATTGTCTGTAGTCTCATTCCAGAAAATTAAGTACAAACAAAAAAATATGTATTTAAAATCAAAACAAAAAAAATGTTTTCTCAGAAAATAGAAATTAAAAATACTGTATATACTCGTGCATAAGTCTACTTAATGTATAGTACAATCCCTGAAATTTTTGTAAAAACCTTGAATTTTTCATATAGCTTGTGTATAATGCAACCCCACCTGAGGAGCAAAACTAGTCGGCCTACCGTAGTCAAATATTGCAGTACTGGGCAACATCTTGAACATATATTTTATATCAAATAAATGGTCTTCATTTTTTTTGTACAAAGCTAGCTCAAAATGCTGAGAAAAACCACTTACCATAAAATATCTGATACAAGGATTTAGATACCATTATTGAAAATGCATGATTTTTAACCTCTTCAAAAAATTACCTGTGACCCTACCTATTTTTTGTGTAAAATAATTGATAATAAAAATTCTGACTACACTCAAGTATATACAGCATTCATTTTATGAGAGGATCAAGTAAACAAAAAAAATATAAAATGTGATATCTTTAAAAATTTGACATCTGATTTAGCATCCACCCTTCAACCACGAAATGACAAAGCCATCATATGCTGGATGTATGGCTATGTCCATTGAAGATAAGGTCACATCTAAACAACCTTGATTCACTGCTGCACAGCCACACATAATGCTGGGATGGCCCAGTTGAGTGCAGTGAGGGGGGGGGGTCTATCAAACACACCAGTAAGGTGACGGTTGAAAAAGAAGAGAACAGCCCAAGATGACTTGGTAGGATTTTATTCAGAAAGACAAAAAAAAAAAAAAAAAAAAAAAAAAATCGAGCCTAGAACTAGGTTATGCTAATGACAGACGTATGTGGAGAGGTAAACCAAGATCCTCTGTCAGGCAGGACACACCTTGCTTGCAAGATTAATCCAGATCTTGGCTCAACAAAAAACATGACTATGATGATGATGATCATCATCATCATCATAATTATTTCATTTTTTTTTTTTGTAAAATAAATTCCCAATGTTGTTAAATATTTCATTCAAACACATCCGCTGATCACCATCATAGAATAAAAATGATGCCAAATAAATTTTAATTACACTGTTTCATAAATAACTCAGAAAAACCAAAATGCTTTTATTTTATACCTTCTCAAGAAGGTGATTATGGCTCTCCACAATTTCCTTTGTTTTTCTTCTGCTACCCATTTACTCAAACCGATCAAGTAGTTTACTCAAGGTTTCTCCCCATTTCTCTTAGCTTCCTTAAGTCCTGTGAGTGTTAAGTTATCCAAGCCTTCTTTCCTCATTACGTGAGCCCCAAAACTTGTCTATTCTCCTTAAAACTTCCTCAATATTTACATGTTCTCTCTATGATATTCTCAGTGTTCAGCAATAAAACCACATCTATCACTTCACAACCAATGAGGACAGCATCTAATATTTACTGTCATCTCAGAAAATCCAATATTATATAGCAGTCCAGCACTTGTTTCTCTGAAGACTTGACTGTTTATTGTAGTCATCTTTCATTATTTCTCTATAACCTCAGATTTCTGTCCACATTTGCCGTCATCTGTACTAGCCAGTTAAATGTCCCCCCATGTGCTTCATTGTAACCTCCCCATTATGTAACTCAAATTTGGCTGCCTCTTTTGCTGACAACCATTGCCTTGTACATTTTTGTAATTAAAATTTTGTATTTTCTTCCTGCTCTCATCAATTATCTTAACAAATAGTTCTTTCAGCTTTCTTTCTGCATCTGCTATCAATACAGAATGTCATCTGTGTACTGTATGTTAATGTTAGGTCCACCAATAATAATTCCTGGTAGATCTTGTCTTCTTAGAATTACTTTGCTGTACAAGCCTGATGAAAACAAATTATCTTTATATATTCATTTAACTCATATTATTTTTATGGGGAGAGGAATTACGTTTTCTACTCCACAATCCTATCTGAAGACTACAATTTACTTTTTATATTTATTCCTGGAGTTAAAATCAGAATACTGTAGCAAGGCTCACTATGCCACTTCAAATGCTATTTGAAATTTATGAGTTCAATCCCTGGTTAAGGCAGTATGAGAGTATGAAGAAACTGACAGTTGCAAGTTCAAAAGATAAAAGCCATCAAAAGAATTTTGGTCAATGTGATAAAACCAGGAATATGAACAAGATAATAAAAAAATAAAATGAAAATAAAGAGACACATTCAAAATTCCATGATGACCTGATTACAGATATTTGGGAAAGGTCAGAGGGTATATCAGCTGAAATGCTGTAGTAAACAAAGAAATGTTAGTACAAAAGAATCGTGAATTTATAACTAGTTCATACATTTGAAATAAAGAGATATCATGAAACTCAAACTTCCACATAATATGAAAAAAAAAAAAAAAAAAAAAAGATATTTCAAATATCAGCTTACAATTTATAGTTGCTTTTAATGTCACATGAAATAGTGAAGCCTGATAATGGTTTTAAAAGTTAAATTGTCTACAGTTATATTAATGTTTTCTACTAAGAATTATCCACATACAAGGATATAACAACTCAGTTATGAAATCAATTTTCAGTCAATATTATACAAGGAAATTTGTTTAACTTTAATCAAAAATGTTTCTGCTATTCTGGGAAATGCAATAGAGTTGACATTAATTTAAAAATAGACAGCTATATAAGCTCTATATAATAAAAGAGGTCAGAATAAATGGCTTCAGTAAAATCATCTTGAAAGAAAATTATAATTGTTGAAATTTTGAATTGTAACAGAATAAGTAATAATTTTTATTAAAAAAAAAAAAAAAAAAAAAAAAAATGAATAAAAAAACACATTATGTATTTACTGGTCAAACATTTTGCATTCTAACGGATTTTTACACCTTCAGTTGAGTGGTTTATGTTGTACAAGGGAGGTAATTCTTGCTTTTTCTCGGCTCCAAAATAAAACAAACCTAGAATTTACTAAAATTAAATAAATGAATCCCTTTGCAAAGAAAAATAGAACACTTTTGTCTTTTTAATCAAGTCTCCAATGGCAAAACAAATAATGGAACTAATCATTAGAAAAATATGTCTAGAGAGTTACAATCTATTCACAAAATTCTGTTAAACTACTATAAAAAAAAAAAAAAAAAAAAATTATAGTTATTTTTGTTAATATTCAAAGAATCAAAAGGTCTTATTAAATTATTTTGATCCCTTTATTGGAGATATGAGAACGATGTTACAATGTGCCCAGTTTCTTGGTATTTTGGATAAAAAATAAAGCACTAACAGTTCGAGATGGTCATCTATGGAGAGGCAGTTGCAGTGAGCTGAAGCCTAAAAGTAAAATTCTTTAAATTATTAGCTTCATCAGTCTGAAAATCTTTTATTTAAAGGCTTACAAATTTTTTCCTGTCACATGGGATTTCGAATTAAAATTATGAAAGAATCACAGTAAATAAAAGGAATCAAGTGAACACAATGCAATCCTTCTCAAAAACCCAAATTGCATGAATATTGGCCAAAAATATTTCAGACTAGTATTTAAAATAAGTCAAAAAAGTTTCATACAAGAAAATTCACAAGAGAGAGAAAAAAAAAAAATGAAGAATTTAGTGAAACATTGCCAAATTTTATTAAAGTTTTTCCATCAAATTAAAATCAAAATATTTATTCCCAGAATAAAAAAAAAAATTAAAATGAAGCTTTAACATTTTGCATTCAGCCAAAAAGCTAAACACATTTACACATCCGCCTAAACACATTCAAACCACAAACAACTTAATTTCCCCATAAAAAGAAGAATAATTATAACAATTTCAAGTCAGATTAATTTTAATAATTTTTAAACTAATCAGATGATCTGCAGAAATGGTGACTTAAAAAATTGGGTGAGATGAACATATTTTCATAAAGATTTTTTTAATTAAAAAAATAAAATTTAAAAAAAAAATTGACAAAATTTCTTGTTTTCACATTAGCACCTTCAAAATTCTTGTAACAATGGATTATTTGAATGTTTGAAAAATTTAAAAAAAAAAAAAAAAAAAAAAAAAGTAATACTTTGTAAAATTTATTTTTCATGTTTACACAATGTTGTTGGCTGTTCAAGCATTTAATCTAATATTTGTCTGTAAAAACCAGAATTACTTATTCATTTGTCCTTTTTCTTGGAAGTATAGACACCATTCTTTAATATCATGGTGTGACAAAACAAAAGAAAATTAATCTTATTCTTATCTACAAGATTTGTGGCAAAGAAACAATTAGCAGTTTGTTTTCAATCTTAACTAATGCCTTAATTAGAAGGACTAATTAAAACTTCATAAGACAAATAATTAAGTCATAAGTAAAATACTTGAAAATTTATCCAAAAGATAAAACAGAATCGATAGAAAAATATATGCGACTGAAGTAGTTTTTAGCGTTTCTTTCAAGCTATTTACCTTTTCTTTTTTGTGTAAACGATATTCAAGGGAGGTGATCAAAAAATGCACAACATTCACCAAAATAAAAATATCTTTATAATTTTCCGAAATTTTTACTTGTTTCTTCCATTCGGTACTCTAAAGAAAAACTTTCATGGTATCTGAAAAAAAGAAGAAAAAGATAATAGATTAAGTGAAATTATACAGTGAAAAGTTATCAGCCATTAAAGTTAAAATAAAAACTTTTAACAAGAATAGTCAACAGCCAGTTTAAACATAGCGTTTAAAAATGTATATAAATGGAAGCGGGAGTTGTTCCCCTTGAATTTTCTTTTTATTTTAATTTTTTTTTAACTCTTTCTTTTCCTATGGTATCAGTGATAATAGTAATTGGCCAAATAACAAATGAAACCATTTCCTTACAGCCGACATTTATTCAACACAAGTCATCAAAACTCAATCATGTTGATTTTAGAACATCCAGTCACTAGAATACAAAAATGTCAAATTTTCAGTAAATAAATAAAATAAATTTAAAATAAATGTTTACAATAGTAAATTTCAGTTACTAACTTGAATACTTAATTATACTTTATACAAGTTACACTATTTGCATATAATACTCAAGCTACAGAAACTATTTAGACCTACAAAACCTTGGTGAAAAGACAATATTTCAACTAAATTCTAAAATGTTGAAAAACCTTAAAAATTGTATTCATAAAAGATTTGAGTAAACAGTTAAACATTAATAAAATCAATCATTTATTTGTTGATTGAATATCAATTAGTTGAAAGAATATTTCAAAATTCGTTTCATCTTTTCTATATGAAGAAATTGTTTATTAAATACATTTCATCTTTTTGGCATTAAGAGATAGATACAAAAGTCGTTTTCCCAAAACTTTGAAATAAGTTATCATTGATATTTTAATGGTGTTTGAACATTGATTTTTATATTCTTCCATTTTAGCAATTTTGTTCTCCAAACAAAGCCAAAGAAAGGACTGACTAAAATAAGGAGAAAAAAAGTGTATACTTTTAAAAATTCATTGTGTATGTTTGAGATGATAGCTTAATAAATCTGGATAAATTTTTTATTGCCATAATTTTTGTTTAAAAAAAATAATACAAAATACAAGATGTGTTCAAAGAGTATCTTACCTTTGGACATAAAAAAAAATTTTTTTAAAATAAAAAACATTCTATTTTGTACATTTCACAAATTTTATTTGATTATCTTCAAAAGTGTGCATCCCTTTGAAATCCACGCATTTCTCCTGGTGGTTCTGCCACTACTGGTAACACTTCTGGAATACTATAGCACTGTCATCACTTTTCACATAATTTCCTCTTACAACTCAAATTGCTTCTCTTTCAGCATGGTTTTCAGATTGGGGAAGAGCCAGAAGTTACACGGTATTAAGCTGAGGGAGTAGGAAGCCTATCGAACAAGTGGTGTGTTGTTCTTGACCAGGAAATCTTGGATTATGCGGATGGAATAAGTGGGCACATTGTGGTGAAGTTGCCAATTCTTTGCTACCCACTTGTCCAACCATTTTCAACACATGCATTATGAAGGCAATGTATAATCTCCAGATAGTATTCCTTATTGACTGAATGGCCTTGTGATGTGTATTCATGATGCATGGGCTCCAAAGAAACAGGTGAACATTACCTTTACCTTGTTGCGAACTTGTCATGCATTTTTTTGAGGTTTGATGATGGAGGCTTCCATTGACAGAACTGGAATTTAGCTTTTAGGTCATAACAATAAACCCAGGTCTCATCATCAGTGATGATGGTCTTCATTAAGTCTGGGTCGTGATTTGCCCAGTCCACCATGTACTGAGCGATTTTCATGTGGAGTTGCTACTGCTTCTCAGTGGACTCCTCATTTTGACTTGTGGATGGCCTGCCCAAGTGTACCTCACTCTCCACTGTGGTGCAGCCATGTTTGAACTACTCCTAGATCTGAGTTTTGCCCATGGCATCATCATCATCAAAAACGTGCGGAATCTTCTGGATGGTTTTAGCTTGAGCATCAAACTTTTTGCAAAATCTGATGCAATATCTGTGCTTGATGCATTCGTGAAAACAAAAATCAGACAAGCACACACTACACATCTGTATTCTAGGCATAACAGCTGGGAACGGACAAAGTCAACTAGCACAAAATGTACAGGAAGGGTAGTGTCACCACTGACCCAGAGGATTTTGCCCACACAGAATTAGTCAGATACTTTTTGAATGCACCTCATATGAGATAATTTACCTGTGAAAGAAAATACAATAACGTTACTTACAGCAGTTTTCAGGGCTTGATCCAAATCAGCAATTAAATCATCTTCTTCTTCAAGTCCCACAGACAATCGGATCAAATTGTCTGCAATTCCTATTTCTTCTCTTTGTTCCTTAGGAACTGAAGCATGAGTCATTATGGCCCTAAAATAGACAATAAAATCATTAAAACTTACAATAAGAATTTGCTATATTTATAAATGGTCTACATTATTGTAGCATTAATATATAGACCTCAGTGATCAGCTCAATGGAATTTTTCATCAAGGATTTGAAAGAAACCCTAGATGGAAAATTCCTTAACAGAGATAAGTAAAATCCTAGAGCCAGTGAAAAATAAAATCAACAAGCCAGAAGGGCTTATTTATCAAGCCAGGAGTAAAATATGCTCAGAGAGTTTGCAAAGTGTTATATACTATAATACTATAACAGAAACTAATTTATGTGTGGGGGGAGTAAATGGATATCGGCTGAGAATGAAAACTCAGAGAGCTGAGTTTGAATTCCAGTCGGGTTCATTACATTCACTTTCACACAAATACCCTTGGGAAAGGCATGAATCTATCTTTTCTACTCCCAGCTATTCATTGCATGGCAGGACAGACTGGGTTCTATAGCCTTGGTTGGCAGCCAGTCTACTGTGGGAAGAAACAGCAACCTACTGCAGGAAAATCTTCTGCCTAGTTCATCATCAATCAAAAGAGACATTGTTGCCAAAGCATGTATCATGTATAGCACTTAACTAACTGAACTAATTTATGATGCAAAATAATGAATGGAAAACCGATGCACTAATATTCAAAAAGTAAAATTATGTTACAGGGGTTTCTAGAAAAAAAAAAATTAAATGCACCAAAACCACATGAGGGAGCAAATTAGAATCCTTATATAATGATAATTCAATAAATACACAGATCAATTTCCAAATGGATATGGAGAGGATGATATTCAACAAAATGTTTTTTTTTCTGGGTTAAGAAACTTTTTAGTCTTCTTTCATCAAAGTACCAAGAATTATTTTTAGTTTATGCATGTGAAAAATAATGTTTGAGGGAGGTGTTAAAATATTTTTGGGACTAAAGAACTAAACACACACACACACACAATACAAAATCTAAAGACCAGCAGACATGATAAATCCCTGCAGAAGGCTGAAGAATGTAACTGGTGAAATCTTAGAAAACAATGAAGATGAAGACGACTGAATATTATGTGAGAATAATGTGTCACAAAGAAAAATAGTAGTTATCTATCTAACATTTCCCTTTACATATATGCTAATGTATAAGATCAACCAACTCATGATATGAAGGGGGTGAAGGATAAGAAAGAAAAAAAGAGGAGAGAAAGAAAATGTAGAAAGGGAGAAAATTAAGTGAAGGAGAGAATGATAATGGGGATAAAAGAAGAAAAAAAAAAAAAAGGAATTACTTACGGTAACTCAGCTAAACTTTCATAGCCACCTAAACTCTCTGCAGTGGTAAATAGCTGGAGATTAAAAGAAACAAAAATGAAAATTTGAATAGAATGTCAAATCTAAATGTTTTAAAACATGGATTTTATTAGTGGCAATCAAGGAATGAGAAATTAATTTGTGTTTAAAATTCAGTAACCTTAAGTAAGTTCCATTCCACCAATTCTAAATATTTCCAATCAATTGCATATCAAAATCTTATGAATTAGAAGCAACAAGTTTGTGTGATGATCTCACCTCAAATTATTTTGATATTTCTAGACACATTTTTATAAAAATATTTCCAGATAAAACAAATGGTAGGTGCTTCTTTGAAAGGACCCAACAAATTTAGGACAGAATTTCTAAAACCTTTTCCTGACAAATTAGTATCTAGTTGCATAAGAGGATTGACCAAAAAGAGTAAATTGCAAAATGATTCAAGTTCCTCTCAGAATTTGTGAACAATTCTAAAATTGATGTTTTAAAATTATATCACATTACAAAAATGATATTGACCATAAATTAATAAATGAGGGTTATCAGTTTAAAGAATATTTACACGTTAGGAAATCCCTGAACACTGGGGAAAAAAAAAAAAAAACATTAAAATTTAACACACAGTAGTGTAACAGATTTACTGGTGTGGATTTTACAAGTAAGTGAATCTATACCTAGTGGCCAGTTGGATAAGGAATTAACTTTAAAAGTTGTTTCGAAAAACCTAGAAAACCAAGCTGAGTAATTTGGATTTTACTAGTATATTGGAAATACCTAGATTTTTCTAGTACGCTTTTTAGTTGACTTTTACTTTTTTGATTCTTGTTAAGTATTTGAGGTTGTAATTAAATACCATTTTATCTTAAGATTGAAGCCTTGAGTTATACTTAATTATTAACAACCACCATGCATCACAAAAAAGACAATGGAAAACATTCCCACCTTGAGAGTCTTGAGGAATATTTTGGATTCTTCAATGCCACCCTTAATGAAAACTGTCAACATTCCACTGAAACCACGCATCTGGCGTTTAGCAAGCAAATGTTGAGGGTGTGATTCAAGACCTGAGATCAAGAAAAGAAAAAAAACAAGTTATATCTGGATGTAAGTGTTCTGTATTGAAATTAGCAAAAACATTTTAAAAGATAATTTGTTAATTCTCAATATGTAACACTATTTGGGTTGCTGGTAATTGATAATCAAAATGGCGACTTAAAATATCACTGAAAACTGAAGATAATAATGCATAACTTAGTATGAAAAGGGTTAACTAATATCAGGAAGACAGGCTGATAGTAAGATTGTTCCCAGAGAATTGAAATGTGTAAAATGGACCAGATGACTGTTTGAAAGCGATTCTCAATTTGTGTGAACAAATCAACTGTTGACAACCTGTGATAACCAATGCCTGGATCTGACAAGAGAAGAATTGAGTTAAAACTAAATCTTCACAGGATATCAGAATGAAAAACAATAAAATGAACACCTGCAACTGAGCAATGGTCACCATAATGGGAGTTAATAAAATTTCCCTGGGAAAGTGTCTCTTGTGCCAGAAGTGAGAAAGCCAATTGTGGTGTCAATTCACTTATGAGAAAAGAACATTCGAAACCATTTTTTTTTTTTAAATCAATCTCCAACCGAATGTTGTAGGTGAGAGGTGCAGAAGAGCAATCAAAGAAGGATGACGGCCTGCCTGCACTCACTGAAAGATAGCAGGCACAGAGGAGACATTAAGGACGTTGAAGAATCTGCTAATGCCCACTGGGGAGCAATAGTGAGAGGTGGTACTAAGAGAAGGTGGAGGCAGCCAAGCAGAGCGATGTCTGCAAACCCCCACCACATGAGAGAGAGAGAATTCCCCAAAAATTATGAACTAATTTGATTTCTTAAGACTAAAAAAAATAGACTTTTGTTGGAAATCAGGAGATTCACCGAAACCCAGCCTACATCTTGCCCCCACAGGTTTCTAGTTGGAGTCCTTAAAAATGAATGTGCAAAAGCCATTCAGAGTGCTCAAAGTGAGACACAGTCAGTGCAGAGTTGCAAGCTGACAAGGGAAGTGATGGATGTCATTGAGAGATTCCACACTTCCTGCCAAACACAAGGACCTCTGACTTCAGCCTTGAGCCAAACTTACCAAAACAGTAAAACAAATTTCGATAACAGGTTGAGATGACAAACACCTGTATGCAAACACAACTACTAACAAACCCTTGTATGCAAAATTGATATAAAAATAGTAATATATATATATATATATATAGAGAGAGAGAGAGAGCTGTTCCCCACCCCCAATCTTATTGTACGACTTCACTTGAGTTGGCCCAGCACAACACAAAGATACCTGTGGCAGATCAATCTTGGCGTCCTTATAATCAAATCAATTACAACATGGGATAAGTTAGGTCAGGATCAAAGTGATCATGCCATTGCTCAAATCAGGATCCAACCCGAGCTGACTGCAACAAAAGGTTACATCTGTGGCCGTTTGTTGTGAACCAGGATTGATTGAAGTGTTACAAATATTCCCAGGCCAAAACAGTTCAGTTTTTAAAAGCTTTAAAATTTTGATTTTAAATTTCTGTAATTTCATAGTTGAAAATAAAAAAATACAAATTTTTTAAATATTAAATATATGCAAAATATCCAAATATTTTTTTGTTTTGAAAATTAGAAACTGAATGAACAAATGAAAAATGTTTTTTCTCACTTTGTTAGAAACATTTTTACATACCTCATAATTTTTTAAAACTATTCGCACACATGCGCCTGTGTGTATTTAGGCAGCATATCTTCATTCAGACATGTTTCATTGAATAATGTAGACATATTGTCTACTTATTTTTATACTGATCCTTTCCCCTTGTCAAATCATTTTCTTGATGTTGAAATGAAATTCATCAAAGAAGGCACTGTAGTTTTTCTTTAACCCAAGTACATTCAACCTTTTCTAAGATCAACTTCAGGGGTTGATGGAGATATTCGAGACCAAACACTCAACTGGAGACCACCTGAGTGGATTGGATTAATTGACCTGAAGGTAGTTTGAACTGGGCTTCATCCCCAAGTTTATACATTGCTTTTATCAAAGGTTTTCATCATATATCACCCATTTGGCTGTGATGCATGAACTGGCTATACCCTCATCAGATTGAGTGTCATGACTGGTATATTAAGCTTTGTATTTCTGTAACCCGAGCATAATTTTGTCAACATGCAGTTCACTCCTTAAATAAGACATTTACTTTAAAAGATTGACTTAGTAAGTAATTTGAATTAAATAGAATTTTACCTGGATGAAGAACTTTTTCAACTCTCGAATTTCCTTCCAGAAATCTTGCCACAGCTAAACCATTTTTCATATGTTCCTTCATTCGAAGGTGCATTGTTTTCAGCCCTCGATTGACAAGGAAACAGTCAAATGGGGAAGGAACAGCCCCACAAGCTGAAAAGACAAGACACACCCACTCCTCACTTTAATATTAATAAAAAGTAATCAAAAGACAACCTCAATAGAATAAAACGTTTTTCTTAATTGAGAAAGCAAATAACACTATGTCTTTTTAATCCATTCATAAATTGAAAATTTTGGAGATTTCAAGAAAAAAAAAGTAAAATAAAAATACCTCGAATGGTTTAATAGATTTTCTCATAGAATCCGATAAAAAATTCAGACAAAACAAGATGCATTTTCTTTCTTTCAAAATAGTTTAAATCTTAAAACATAAAAATAACTTTGAAAATATGTTTGTGTGTAATCAATCAATGAACAATTAAGATAGATTACACTTATTAGTAACAAGCATGTTTCACAGAATGACCCTATGTCTGACAACAGGACTCTGCACCATGTCACACAAGCAGGAGAACCTAGTCATAGCTGTCAAACAATTTCTGCAACCATATAAATCTGCTCACCTAACTCCCCAGACTCCTTTCATTATCATGTATGGGGTGCAGTTGAGTGAGAGATCAGCAAAACTCACTGTAACACCAAAGATGAACTGAAGGCAAAGATTATGGCAGCATTCACCAACTTCAACAAGGAGACTGTCCAGAAGAGTTGCAGGAGATTCCAAAGTTGTCTGGAGGTTGTGGCTGGAGCCAATGGCGATTTTATTGAATAAATTTACTCTTTAGCATTTCAAAATATTTCTGTGCAATTTTGGTAAATATATCTGTTAAAATGAGATGTCAACGTTATTTTTATCTTTGTGCAGTTTAGACGCCAATTTAACCATCGCACCCATCACATGTCCACAAATACTTCATTTTTAAGTTACTAAGTTTACAGTAGATGCTGTTAAATGTACAATCCAAGATACAATGCAAATATATTTTTACAAACTTTGGGGACAGGTTCCTGACACAAAAAAAAAAATGTAAAATGTCCATATAAACACATGTACAAAAAAAACCATTGTTGTACCAAAACACAGCAACTGATAACAAATGTTTAAAATGTCCTCTGCTTTGCTTCTATACACGCATGCACTCATCAGATCATTGACTGGCAGACCCTTTCAAATACTCCCACACACAGTATCAAATGGTTTCATAAATGGTTGATGAAGCATCTCTGCATTATTAATGTCTGCTGCATAAACAAATTGTTTTAGGTGGCCTCACAGACAAAAATCGAAAGGCTTGAGGTCAAAGGAATGTGCAGGTCATGGAACCAGTCCTCCCCTACCTCTCCATCTTTCAAATTTTAGATGTCAGCCAGTGCATCGCAAACAATTTAACTAAAATGTGCTGGAGCTCCATCGTGCATGAATCATATGCATCTTTGTATTAACAGGGGTACATCAGTCTTGGATGGCTCAAATGCCTTCAGTCTGGAAACAATCTCATACAGCTATGCAGCCTTGCATCCATTAACATTCACGCGACCATATGTAAAAGAAAAAAATATTTAAAAAAAAAAAACAAAAAAAAACAAACAAACATACCTGTCTGCTCACATTATGAATATCCTACCATTATTAAATGGAACACTTCTCAGATAATTCACTACTACACCTGTTAAACATTGAAGACCGTGTAGCCACAAATGACAAATGTCATCTAGTCTACATGGTAACACAGTGCCGTCTACCATAAACCATTTAAAGTTAATAACTCAAAAACAAAGGATTTGTGGACATATGTTTATATGGGCTTTTGTCTTGGTTTTGATGTGAGGAACCTATGCCCAAAGTTTGTAAAAGTATTTTTGATAAACGCTGTGGTGTGTGTGTGTATATATATATATATATATATATATATTAAAACAGGTGAAAAAGGAAACAAATTAATTATTGCACAGTGGTAAATCCAATTATAACAAACAAATACTAAATTTGTGCAAAGCAACTAAAACTTGGTAGGTGGGATGGAAAATTATTTACTATAGAATCAGCATTATGTATTGTATGTTGACAACCGTGAATGATCTTAGTTCGGCTTTTCCTCTTGGCCGGCAATCACCAATCGTTTTGGTTCAGCAAGAAAGGCTCCAAAAACAGAATGTCAACTATTTTATTGAATGAAAAAAGTTAATGACCCTGTATAAAACAGTTTATGTGTTACAAAACAAGTTATCTTTAAGTAGTAACTATTTTATTATTATTAGATGATAGAACATCATCATGTTTTTTGTTTCATCATTTTTGTTCTGGAATTTCCCAATTTTCCTAGTCCATCTCCATTATGTAACTATCTGTTTTGGACTGTATGAAAACTGGTCTGTCCCCATAAAAAAAAAAAGCCCGTTTTGCTTAGCATGTAAAAGCACTGCAGTTGAAATGAGGGAGAAAAAAAGCACTTACCGCCTTATCCATCCTCGGCCAGATAAATAAAAAAATGAGGGGGGGACTGGCAATCCAACCCAATGTATAAAACAGGGACATTATGTGGAAGACGCAAGGGATTACAAAACAAACAACTAGAAAGATTATTAGTAAAAGAACTCAGTAAAAGCAAACAGAGACAGTTTTCGCATATTGATTCTTAATACCCATTGTTGAATGGATAGAAAATTTTATTATTATTAGATGATAGAACAGTGTTGCATGTTAACGACTGTTTCTCTTGGTTGGGGATCATCACTCATTTTTGTTCTGGAATGAAAGACTTCAACACAGAGAATTTTAACTATTTTTATTAATGTCAACATCTCCATTATGTAACTATCCAGCTGTTTTGGACACAAAAGAGAAAACATCTACATCTCTTGACAGGTAAGAAATAATTAGCATAAACCTTTTCTCCTATCTCTGTTATTGCAGCCAATCAAAATAGACTTCCCTATTATGGTTCACATCTGACCCCAGCTGTCAACCTCTGGAAGTCAAGAGCCGATAGACACTTTTCCCCTAAAAAATAATAGTCTACTAAACTATTATTTAACATATATATCACAAACAGATTGTGACTCATACAGCTGATTGAAACTAAATGCCTGACATCATGGTCAATCTACATTACAAATCATTCCTATTAAGCACTGTTTTTCATCAAAAATGTATCCTCTTGACTGGGTTGGATTGGTCAACAAATTTAAAAATATAAAAAAAAGATTCCAAGGGTACATTCTTATTTCAAATTATAAGCAGTGTGATGAATAAATAATTTTTTAAATAAAAATTAAAAATTAAATACATTACCATTTTGTAAAAATCGTAAACGTTCAGCTATTTTGTCGTCTCTGACAACTACACAACCCATAACTGTATCAGAATGACCTGCATTGGAAAAAAATATCTTAATTGCATTGTGTCATCAATTTTATTCCAATATCTAAAGATATTTTCACACAATTTGCATTAAAAAAAAAATAAATAAATAAATAAATAAATAAACTTTCATTAAATTTATGGATAATAAAAATAGTTAAGAGTTTTCAAACAGTCCTTGATTGCTAAAAAAAAAAAAAAAAAAAAAAAAAATGGAGTTATTTCCCCTTAGTCGTCAAGCGTCTTATTGAGATCCAGTGACCCCCCCGTCTATTCGCATTTCAGCAGCATTCACGGTTTCACACATTCGCGAATTTTTCTTTAGTTATTCACGGAAACCCTGAATATTCGCGTGTTTTTCTGAAGAATATATGTACAAATGATTCGCAGAGAATTCCCTCGATTCACGTATTTTTTCGATAGAACATATTTAAAATATTCTTGTATTATTTTAAGTGACTTAAAAACATAATCCATTTTTATGGTAAATTTGAAAGTTTTAATACATAGGTATTTATAAGCACTTTGAGGGGGCGGGTACAAGTATTCGCGGATTCTAACTATTCACAGCCTGTTCTGGTTTCTAACCCCCGATGTATATGGGGGACTCACTGTTATTGTACTTTCAATATGAAACAAAAAATAATCTTCCATTCTGTTATTGCAGCCAATCAAAATGATTATGATTTAATTATTTTAACCTCTGGAAGTCCACCAAATAAAAAAATATTCTTAAACTCTTGATTTATATGCAACTGCAATCAGTATAAGAAAATAAAAATTTTTAAATAAAAATTAAAAATTAAATACACAGAAAAATTACCAGCTATTTTTTCAATATTTTCAAAATTGTGTTGCAATATCTAAAGATATTTTCACACAATTTGCATTAAAAAAAAATAAATAAATAAATAAATAAATAAACTTTCATTAAATTTATGGATTTTAAGAGTTTTCAAACATAAAAAAAAAAAAAAAAAAAAAAATTATATTTTGAAAGATTCCATTGGGAATTCAAATAAAAAGAATTTTATTTGTTCTTTTCCTCCAAGTGAACAGCTTAAGGTTGAAAAAAATGATAGGTCTTCACAAAAACTAGGAACACCGTAAAAAAAAAAAAAAAAAAAAAACAAAGAAAAATAATTGGTTTCACATAAAATTTCTCCTATAACAGACTTTGAATTGTATCAAATCTATCTTTTTTTCTTTTCAATTAATATTTGTTTGGAAAAACCAGAAAAAATACATTTTCCTAAAATGTAAAAGTATTTTAATAGTTTTAAAAAAAATGAATTACATACCATTCATATATTTGGTCATAGAACTAATAACAAGATCTGCTCCCATTTCAAGAGGTCTCTACAAGAAAATAAATTCAATTTCTAACATCTATGTGCAAAAGTTTAATGAATGCTAATCAACAAAAATTGTTTAAAATAAAAAAATTAAGTAATGCCATTTTGTAGATAAAATATTTTTTATTAAAAAAATAAAATACTTTTAATAAAAAATTAAAATAGTTTTGAGCAATGTAATATAAAATTAAATCAGGTAAAACAGAATCACAGTAAAGCAGTCATAGAAAAATGTCTCACTATTGTGACCTTGTGCCAAACAAAACTAATGAATAAATTAGCTAAGGACAAAATTAGTTTTGCTATGCCTACAATATCAGATTGAATTTCATAAGTCATTCATTCTTTGGTACTTAGTACATATGTCTCCAAAGCCAGTAGTAAACAATTTACAAACTGCTACCAAAGATTTACTAAAAAATCATCTATAAATGCTTACTAAATTAGTGTTAAAGATACAAAAATTAAGAGGAAAATTGGGAGGGTGGAAAAAGTGCAAAAAGTTACCTGAAAATAGCAGGTAGCAAAAGTGTTGTCAATAGCAACCAGAGCATTTGATTTCTCCTTTGTTATTTTTACTACTTCTTCAATGTCAACAATATTCATCATTGGATTTGTTGGGGTTTCTATCCAAACAAGCTGTAAAAAAAAAAAAAAAAAAAAAAAAAAATATAATGATAATAATTATAAAATTTTAAGGGAAAAAAATTTTTAAATTTCTGCAAGAAATTTTTTTTTTTTTTTCTGGGTCTTGAAGACTGAATATTATATTATTTTAAAAGATGGAATCTCAATATGGAGAATAAACTTTTATGATTTTACCAAAAGTGACAGGAATAAATTACAGATGAATCCAGAGAGCAAAGAAATTCTATAATCAGTTAAAATAAAAAGGTAGAAAAAATAGAACATTTTTTTTCATATACTAAAGTTTGCCCAATGTAAGACCTGAGAGCCATTCAAGGTAGAGGAATCCTGAATGAAAAGTGAAAATTATAAGGATATTATAATATTATATATAAAATTATATTATAGCTAACAATGGACTCCTGATTTGGAGAGGTTAAGATTAGCATTCAGGAAAGCATCCACATGGTCATCTGTTCCACAAAGGAGCTGTTTTAAGAAGGATTTTCTCCTTAAATTCAGAATACAGAGGAAATGAAAGAGATTTGTCCAATGAAAATGAAAACCTCGGTGCCATTAATAAAAGTAGGCACAAATGATTTGCTTCTGTTAAAAATCTTGTTGGTGATACTTCAGAACTACAGGAAACAAGTCTTTATTGTCAATTCTAACTTTAACTGACTGTGCATAGCAGACCTTAACATTCTTCAGAGCTTTTTTTTTTGTAATTGTTGCAGGTACATCTGATGGCAAAGCGAGTCTCACTATACCACTGAAGGTGATTAATGAAGCTAGAAGTAATGGTTAGAGTGAGCTGTAGCTGCAGAACATTCACATGTATACAAATGAAAAACTGTTCAAAATTTGAGGTTACTTCTTGAGAGGAATAAAATCCTCAATACCAAAAAGGATCCACTCAGAAATGAGTGGAAGCTATTTAGGATGCTCCAGGTTTGAAGAAAGTTGAGAAAAGAAGTTCAGCAATGAAAAAATTTGAAACTATCCCACTCAGCTTTGGGGTATCAAAATATTGTCTGATGAAATGGAATATCAGAGAATTCCTTTGCTTTGTCAGCAAATGGAAGACCAGTAGTTTGTGAAGAATTTAAAGCAGATGACACTGCAGATAAACATTTGTCAGGAGAGAAAGAAACGAAATAAACTTTGGACAAATATTTACAATAACAGAAGAAAAAAGCAATCTGGAATTTTGAGAAAGATTAAATTTAAAAAACACAAATTTTGAGTGACTAGAAAAAAATTAATTTCTCAGTGTTTAAATTTTTTTCAGTTGTCTGTTTTCTGAATTAATTTCTCAAAACAAGTATTATCGATCTAATAAAAAGAAATTGAAACTCAAGTCTTTCAATCTTTAGTGCAACTGTGATACAATAGGTTCCCGTTAGATTAGCTTAAGACACCCACAAAGTCAAATGGGACCTAAATGATTTTATCTGGGCTTGGTTTTACAGCAATCAACAGTAAAGTCCAGATATGAAGGCTTGAAAATCAACCACTCATTGTCCAGAAATAGGTAGAAAGGAAATAAATAAAAACTTTTGGGATCAAATACCATTCAGTCAGAAGGTGAGGAATTCCAGTTATGGGTTTATGTAGTCACAGATATAGTAGGTGACAAAAAATCTGTTGTAAGGTGAAAAGCCTAAAATAATGATATAGAGATAGCCAAAGAGGCAGGAGAAAAGTGAATGATGGAATAAAGAGGGTTAGAGGAAGAGATGTAGATGGAATTTTCACAGGCCAAAGGGAATATCTGGTCCATTAGTCTGTCATGAGAAAAGATATAAGTAGCAGCAAAGATCTCCCATGTGTCACTTATACCAACCTCCAAACCCTTTCAGATGAATCCATGAATAAAGAATCCAGTGTATTATAAACAGGATTCATGTTTCTTGCCATGGCATTATTTTACCTTTCGTTCCTTTGTTGAATGTACACCAGACCTTCCCAGTTTTTGTTCATACCAACACAAATGGGAATCAAACACATAAGGTGAAGCCGTCTAGTCAATGAAAGACCAAGTGAGCACTGCAGGTGTAGGTTTATGCAACCACTAAACCTTACCTGCTTGTGCAAACAGTCTTTAAAGATTATCGTATTCACTAGAATCAAAGATGAAATGTTTTTCTTAAAATATAAACCTTGAAAAAGTGAGGCTTTGAGGCCAAATATTACATTGTTTAGGTGTTGATACTACACACACTGACATGTCTATGATGACAAGGATGCCACCTGTCCTTTCAGGTGACAGCTGCCATAATGGTTGCTAAGTGTCAACCTACATGTTTTAGAGAATCTCTATTCTGCCCACACAGATTTACAATCTAGATTTCATGGTCACTATTGATATTAATGAAAGCATCAAGGTGTTGAATGGACATTTTGCTGTAATCGTAATCTGCAGACAAATAAATATACACATTTTGTTTTCACTAATTACTCACCCAATACAAGGCCAAAGAGCTACTCTGAAGTTGTTGTATGAATGCAAGAGGAGGATGTAACAAGTGTAGACTATGAGGAGATGTAGTATAGATAATGCTTAGCTTTGGACTTGAAGAGGTTAAGATTGTAAAGAGCAGGAAAGCATCCTCTTGGGAGTCTGTTCCATAAAGTAGTGGCTCTTGTGAAGAAACTGTCCCAATGGTATTGATCGATTGATTGACTGATCGTGTTTAATGAATCCTCAACCTCTTGTGGGTCATTTAGAACCAAATTGATATGGTTGGTCAATATGGATGAGAAGAAGTTTTAGATATGGTTGAAGGAAATTTTTTCCCCAAGTATGATAGAGAAAAAATGTGTTATTGTTTGTCAGGTATGACAGAAAAAGTTTTATTGTTGGTTAAGAATGATGAAGTTTTAAGTTTTTTGTTTATGTAGACATTTATAAACATCTTTTTTATTTTATTGTAAAATCCAATCTTCGACAAATTGCACTATGTTATCTGGTTTAATTTTACCAAAAATTTCTAAAATTGTTCATTCCGTAATGCTCATTTCATATTTCCTGGAATCTGTAACATTCCAACAGCATGTGCCTGACTATATATGACTCCTGGCATGGTACACATATTGGTGGGATTTCATTTCTCAATAAATGTTCGTGAGTAACATGTGTATATCCAATACGGAGTCTGGCAAGAACCACTTCCTCTCTTCTTATCTTTTGGTAGCCAAATATTCACCAATGATTGGCTGAATGTTGTATAGCTTATTATTTTGACACTTATTCCATAACTGTTGCCATTTTTCTTTAATAATTTTATTAACGGTTGGTTGGAGATCATTGTATAGGATTTTTGTATTTGACACTTCCATATTTAGTGATTTCTTTGCTGCGTTTTCAGCCTTTTTGTTTTCCCTGAATGCCGACATGACTCAGTATGCAACATAATTTCTTATTCATGAGTTTAATTATAGGATGGATCCTTGCTATTTCTATTTTGAATTGATATAAGTGTGGATTTAGAATCTGAAAATATAATAAACCTGTTTGTTTGGGATCTTGAAATCATTTTTAGTGCCAGATCTATAGCCAGAATTTCTACGTTGTAGATTGAGGACACATCTGAAAGTCATTTCATGGCTTTAATTCTGTTCCATATGGCTGCACAGCCAACTTTATTGCCATTTTTAGATCTGTCCATATATGTGTGTGAGTGGTCTGTGTATAGGTTTTTAATAATTTCTATTTCCTCTTGGTAACTTAATGGATTTGTGCTTACTTTGGTAAATTCCAGTATCACTTTTGGTTGTGTTAGTAGCCAAAGTAGTGTCATTGAAATGATGTTCTTGCGGATGTATTGTAGGTTCAATTGTGCTTCCCTGGTAGATTCATCTATGATGGTTTTCATTCACAGTTCAAAGTTTTTGTGTTTTCTTTTATAACAAATAGATTTTTGTATTTAGGGTTAAAGGTACAAAGGATTTGAGTTTTAGATAATATTGTAGTGCCAGTTTTTTTCAATCTCAATTTTAAAAGTGCCTCATAAGCTTCAAGGTATAAACTTTCTATGGATGATGTTTTGAAGGTACCCAGAGTCAGTCCCAATCCTGCATGGTGAATGGGGTCAAGAGTTTTTAGATAGGATTTCTGTGTTAACCCATATCTGAAACATCCGTAGTCCAATTTGGTTCTTATTAAAGTTCTATATAATTTCAGGAGGGATATTCTATCTACTCCCCAAATCAGTGTTACCAAAAACCCATAGTAATTATAATGCTTTGTAGCATTTGTTTTATGTATTTTAGGTGGAGGATGACAGTTTTTTTATCAAATATAATTTCCAGAAATTTATATTGGTCAGTGATTTCAATTTCTGTTCCTTCAAGTTTAAGCTTTAAATCATTGTGCATTTTTTTCAGATTGCAGAAATGAAGACATTTTGTTTTGGTTGGGGAGAATTTGAAACCATTTTTGATAGTCCATGGTTTAATTTATTTAAGCACACTTGCAATTGTTGTTCTGCAGTGTGTATATTTTTTGAGCTGCAGCAGAAGGAATTCCACAAAGTTGCATTCTGCCTGTCAATCTTTACAACATAAAAATTGACAACATTATTAATTGCTTAAATCAAGGAGTTGATAGGTCATTCCATTAGACTTTTTTTTTGACAATCTTTGTCTGGATGATTAGAGTTTACTTATTTGAAGTTTTGTTCATTGATGTCCATTTCTCGGGGTTCTTCAATGATGTACCGAGTTGTGTTATTTCTTTTATGAGCCTTTTGTTTCTCATGTGAATGTATGGAAGGATCAAGTTCTGGAAGGATCAAGTTCTGGAAGGATTTTTGTACTTTAGGTTGCGGTTTTCAGAGTTATTCGTTTTGTACTTATTTTTTTGTTTGAGTTTGACAGGATAGCATTTGTCTTAACCATGGGTATTGGATTTATGTATGGTATACTGAATTCTTAGTACTTCTATTAGTTTGTTTTTAATTCATTTATTAGAGTTGTAAGGTCTCGGTTTCTTATTGCATTGTTCTCTTGTATGTCATTTTGGTGATTTGTTATTTTAGTAGGATTTGCGTATAATGTTGAGAGTGAACGAGTCAGTTTCAACCCATTTTCTAGCTTCTTGAAATGAGATGTTTTATGTGTATTTTATTCTTATTGTTTTTCCTTTCTCCGGATGTTACATGCTTTAGAATCTGCTGAGTGATTTTTGTTTACAGTTTGGGCACAAACGAGGCCTTTGACAGGGTGACTCTTTATGGTCAGTCTCAAATTCCCCAACATCTGGTATTCTCATACATTGATCTTGTAGATGAACAAATTTCTGGCAGTTGTGGCATCTACAGGGTTTAGGGATGTATGGCTCTACCTTGGATATTGTGTATCCTATTTTTATTTCTTTCTGTAGAGTAGATTTGTTGAAAGTCAAAATGTATACGTTTGTGTTTATTAATGTGCCATTTCTTTTTATTTGTATTCTTTTGACGTCATTTTTAATTTCTTCCCGTGAACAAAGTGACAGTGCTGGGTATTTAATTACCTCCCCTTAGACGAGTTAAGGAATTGGTGGAGGTAAGCCTTTATTTTCATGTCGTTTATTTGATTGATTTTTAATGTTTTCTGTATCTTCTTTGATTTTTACTTGAATTAGAAGGGTGTGTGTTTTTTGTTTTTATTGATTTTATCATGGCTGATATAACCTTTTGTTATTTCACCATCTAATGATTCTATGACTATGAAAATTGGAAATGATATTTCATGGTCACATTCTGTTTTAGAGTTTTTGTACTGTCTCTTGGATTGTTTATAAGAGTTTGTCATATAATTTTTGTATTTGCCGTCTGCACCAATACCAAACCCGGAGTTCCTTCTTATGGAACGCTATCAAGAGAGAATAATGTCATTTGGCCTGATCTGCCAGGATTACACAGACAATAAAGTTGAGTCAAAAGTGGTTGCAAGCACCCGCATTCCTCCACCATATCTACCCAAGTATAGTATGGTATAAAGATTCGCAGCCATATCAATGCCATTCTCTTTCATCTCAACTAGCTTTTGCCACTATGTGATAAGCCATTTGGATTGGATTGGGCTATTCCATCCACCTGTCTATCACAGGTTGGAACCAAAGTGGCATGTTGTGGAACTTCTGGCTATTTTATACCAAGTCAGGAGTCACTCAGTCACCAGGACTTCATCCTTGGATATCATAGATTGCCAAATAAACAGCAAACAGGTGGTCCCATTGAGGTGGAATTGGTTTTTGTAAAAGTGTGCAATTTTATAGGTATTTTTGTATGTACAAGTAGTTTAGGTATAGTATTTTATGTCAATAGATAGTTTGTGAATTTTTGTTGATAGTTTAAAGGTATCTATTTTTTTTTGGCCAATAGATTAGATGAAAATATTTTTCCTGAAGGCAAGTTTCCTGGATATAAACAGATAGGTTTGTAGGCTTATCATATAAGCTGATGGCATGTCGGGGAAGTTTCCTCATATAAACTATTACTTTCTAATCTATCTTGCTTCCTATGCTACGCCTAGTTGTAGACTAACGCCATGCCCAGGATAACTGTCCAAATGGAACTTCCTTCTTACAAATGGAATATGAAGAGAATGAATGCAATTCATGCAAATCTAGGTAGCATGGCATGGACAGGTGACTTAGCAGTCTTAAAATATAAAAGAAAAGTTGGACATACCTTGGTGTTTTCCTGAAATGCACTCCCAAATTTGTCAATGTCAGTAGCATCAACAAATGTAATGTTGACTCCAAATTGCTTCATTGTACGGAAATAACGATTTGTACCTAAAAGAGACAAAGAAAGTGAAATATAAATATTATCAGAAACATTAATAAAATAAAAAGACAGCCAACTAAACATACAGATTTCCTTTTGAAGGATTTTAATGTCAAATGAGACAAAACAAAACAAAAAAAAAAAAAGACGACTATTTTTCAATTTGGTAAGAGGGCAGCTGAAGCTTTTATTATACACATACTGGACTCACTTGAAAAAACATGGATCCGTACATTTATCTCCTCCCCAGACATCATGACTACAGGTATACCACAGATTTTCTGATACACTTGATTCTATAGAACCCTGCTGGATTACCTGTTCTTTGCCTGAGCAACAGAAATCACATAATTCAATAACTAACATCTGACCTACTAATTATGCCTTGCTTGGATCTCTACAATGTCATCAGCTGTTAGAAACATTAAATAAAACACCACTTGCAGCTGCCTGGTGAATTAATCTGGCTATTGTGTGAAATTCAAATGCTTGCCCACAATTTTTTCTGAATTAAGAGTTGCCAGGTTACCAGAAAAATGGTTGTGCACATGTACCAGTCAGAAAACTTTGAGAAAAATAAAGTTTGTAAATAATTACAATACCTCATCTCAGAAATATAGATAAAGATCAAAAGATATCACTGCTTAAGTGAAAGAAATTGAACTGAATGTAAAAAGAACAAAAGAAAAATATAAAACAAGCGAAGAGAAAAGAGAAAAACACTGTTTTATTTCAGGCGAGAGACTAAAACTAAGTGATTTGCTTTAACTTTTCATATCAGACACATAACATATGCATCTTTCCGCACAGAAATTGTATAGAACACATCTTTCTATGCAATAATGTTTTCATGTATCTTCTTGTTATAATTAAATCTTACTACATTATTTACATTATTCGGACTATTGACCTCATCTTTGTTGCCATATTTATTACAACGTTTTCGCCATTGTACGCTCCGGCCTTCTTCAAGTGGTTGGAATGTCGAACTTGACCCTTTATTTCACTCACTGGGGTAGACTGTTCTAGTCTAGAACAGCATAGAAACGAATACAATATGGGAACCAGTAATAAGGAGCGCCAGAGAAAAGTGATAATAACAACAAAAAGTTGCAATATGAGCACTGGTAAAAAAGGTTGCTGAAGACATTAGGTTTATAATACCCCGAAAATTCATAAACAGATGTCCTCAAGGACACATGGCACAGTGGATAAAGGCGTTGGTTAGATCCAGTGACAGGACCCAAAGAGTGTGAGTTCAATACCCGGTTAAGGCAGTGGACAAAAGGAGATAACTGATAACTGACATCCATTAAACAGTCTACCCCATTACAACAGCCGAAAAGTTGTAATAAATATGGCAACAAAGATTCGGACAATAGTCCAAATAATGTACATAATACCTCATCTCAGAAATATTATTAAATTATATTTTGGTTATTGGTTGTTTCTCCTTATCCATGTATTTGAACTTGTAAGCAAATCCCATCCACTGTGAAGTGGTAAACCTTTGACAAGTAGGGGTTTTTTTTATCTTTTTCTTTTTGAAATTTTGTGTTGTGGCAAGCAGTTCATAACAGTGTACAGTGAATTTCTTTGCATGAAATGAAACAAAATAAATAGAACTCCTCAAGAATTTATAATTTGATCTTCATAGCCAAGAAGCAAGAGCTGTAAAGTTAATGTCAGAGTTCAAATTGTATCAATAACTCTTAAAATAGTCAAATGCTACTTTTTACGAAATGAATGGACTTAAAATTCACATACATACCCCAGTGGAAGCACGCAATTTGGAGGTAGCAAAAACACAAAGAAAGCAAGCTGCTGCATACAAGATTTGGTAGATTTCTTATATTTCGTGCAGTTTAATTTAGTAATCGAACTGTTTGAGTGGGAATATTAATGATGGTGAACAAAAAAAAAAAAAAAAAAAAAAAATAAGATGTAGAAAACTAATGATAAAATGATAGTTACTAGACACGACATGTTTTTTTTATATTCTTCTGAGCTCTTGCTGGAGACGAAAGTCAAAATGCTAAACTTACCAGCTTTGGATGCTTCATGCCCTTAAACTAAAGCAAACTGTCCCTTAGGCAAGTGACAGAGTTCAATCCTCACTAGAAATATGTAACATTGAGGCAAATTTAGCTCAAACAAATTTTTAATATTGTGCTTTTATTAGAAATAAAAAACACACCTTCAGATCAGATACAAGAGGCAGAGTACAAATGGTTAAGAACAAAATTTGCAATTTACCTCCATATAAATCATTCATACTGAGAATATGGTCACCAGATTTCAAGAGACGTACAACAAGGTCAGTGGCTGCAAGTCCTGATGCCATACACAAAGCTGAAAGAGCAAAAATATTACAAATAAAAATAAAAATTTCAACTTTGCATAACTCTTTAATAAAAAAAAGAAAATATTTTTCAAATAACCTTTAGCAAAATATTTTAAGACTAAAGTTAATTTATTTCAAGATATTCCCACCTGAACATTTGCCAATTTCAATTTTCCTTTTCTTTGAGGAAAAAGATTGCATTAGTTTTTTTTTAATGTTACAAATATAAAAGTATTTTCGTCAATAAACAATCTAATAAATAAAAAGTGTTCAATATTTCTGTTGTAAATTCTCAATAACAAAAAATATATAAATTCACTTTATCATATGTTTGGGTTTTATTACAATTCTAATAATCACTTTTTAAAAAACACACATTGCTGAAGAGTAAAGGTAGTTAAGATAAAAGCGGGTGTCCTTTTGACACTCCGGTTTTTCACAGGCATCAAGGTCCATGTTTACTATTTTAAGTATATTGGTTATCTCCCCTGTTGCATAATATTGTTTAATTTTAAAAAATATATCAATCTGATGGTTTTCTTAGTTAGAAATATTCAGTGTGAAACTGAAAAACAATTTGATATATTTAAAAATCAATAAAACAAAAACACATTAGTTTTTAACATTTTTTTAAAAGTGCACTTTAAACTGAAATTAGTTAAAACTAAACACTCTTAATGCCATTTAAAACCAAACACAGAATTCACTTTTTTTGGCAAGCCAATACTTTAATACATACATTTTAAATAACAAAAAAGGCACTATATTTCAAAATATTGAAATTGTGAGTCAAAACATTAACCACCAACCACACATTAACTTGTGGCTGACATTTTTTATCATGATGCCAACTACGTATTATCTCGGGCTTGGCATTTTATGATACATTTTCATCTGCGGCCGCCAACAACAACGTGTTTATTTACAGTGATACAATATTAAGACTTCAGTTGAAGATATAAATAAACTCATAAAAATATTTTATTACCTACGTTGACTATTTATTATAAAGTTGGCATTTGAAATCAGATTTTATAATTGACCTCTGGCAGGTCAACGTGTTAATGACACAATAATAATCAGTCTTCAAAGCATTTATGAAGAACATCAAATAAATGGTATTCCAAGATTACATGCATAAGAAGAAAAAATAAAATTAAACTCATACACAATCTATTTTTGTGTACTTGCTCAAAATTAGAATTGGAGTAAAAGAGTTTAAAGATTCGTAAGATGAAGAAAAATAATGAAGGAGAAAAAAGCTGATTTAAATTTAAACTTCAACAAAGGAATTTTCTGTAAGAAAGGAAAACAAACCATGTTTGCCCTTTTCTAAAGAGGCGATACATTCCTCCAAGCATTTTCTTGTAGGATTTCCACTCCTTGAATAATCAAAACCCTAAAAATAGAAATTAATTAATTAAATTAAAATGTTAGTATGTTAATATACTTCTAAAATCTCTAAATGTCAAAGTTCTTTCAGCAGACTCAAAAACAAAACAAAAAAGTAATCAAGTATCAATTTATTAGTTAAATTTTAAAAGTTGAATTTATTAATAATGTTTAATAATAATAATCTATTAGGTTTAAGGCTCCAAGTTTTCCACAGAGAATTGTCCCAATAAGCCTAGTGGATTAAAGCATTGGTTTATGAATTTGGTGGTATAGTAATTCAGAGTTCAATCCCTGAGCTGGACAGTGTGTACTTGGACTCAATGAAAACAGGATGAGCAATAACTGAGCAGTGTTAAAAAATAAGCCAGGTTACTCAGACTGACATACACCTGATGAAGGCCAGAGGGCACAACAGCTGAAATGCTGTGATGGCAAAAATAGATACAAGGACAATAGTCAGCATGCGAACAGTGGTAATAAATATCTATTTGCTTAATATGAGGCACTCAGGTTTCAAATCATAAGCTGAGCCTGACATGGTAAAAACTCAATAACATCAACATCTTTTTTTTTTCTTTTTTTTACTTGAAGAAGCTTAAAATTTCTCGGAATATATAATATATCTACTACAAGCATTCAATAGTCAACTAATGAATGCCCTTTCATAGTAGATATATCTAGGATTTATGAAGCATGTTAGGTTTATTAAATACCCTTGGAATTGGTTGGGCTAAAGTGGGTTTTCAGCCCAACCCACTTTAATTATAACTATTATTTCATTGACCTAATATGAAAATATTGATTTTGGCAAATGGGTTAAGAAAAGAATTTTTCAGAATAGTCTACCCACACAACGATTAAAAAACGGGTTGATTCAGAATTCGCTGTAGTTTACTTAGATTGATATACAACTGAGGAAGGCCGAAGGGTACAATGATATGTACATGATATCAACAACAAAGATGAGGACAATAGTCCAAATATAAATTGTGTAAGTAATGATAACTCCTCATTCCAGAAATTCAGACAGAAATAAAAAGCAAACATGTTTATATATCAGATTTCATTAAATAGAAATTCATTCAATGCAATTTCTAAATGATTCTTCCAAAAACTATTAAGTTCTCTCACAAGATGACCAAACTGGAAAGACTTGCACACTGTAAGTGTAAAGCTACCAACTGAAAATGACTGGAAAACTAACCAGCCAAAATGCTGCATTAAAACAATTTGCATAAACCAACAATTTATGATGATCTCAATTCAGAACTATAAATAATTTTTACCTTTAATTTTCTGGTTTGTGATTGCACTTAGAAACAAATATTTCAAGAAAACAAATGTCTATGTACACTTCTAGGTCACCTTTGAGCAAGTCATAATATTCTTATTCAAAAAGAAAAAAAAAGATTTATCAATATAGAACATAAGCATGTTCATTGATCTTGTCTAACAAGTAAATTTTAAAAATGTAAATTATTGACTCTAGGAAGTCTGTTATAGTGGACGGTAAATAGTGACTTATCGTCAGGCTATACTAGAAGTACAAGCTTTTAAGGTAAGCAGCATTGAGCCTAATCAGTGAATGCCCACTTAGGAACACCAGGCACCGTTAGCTGCTTATGACCTTGTAAAGAGAGGTAACATTAATTATGGACAGCAAGTTTGATCCTCATTTTGTGCTTCACTACAGTGGCCTTGTACCAGACAACACTTAAATTCATAAATATCTATACCGATTAATTGTTTCGTATTAGGCTTATGGGCATATCCCAATGAAGAAATGGTTCTCATATGATCACTAAAGTTAAGCAACATTGAGCCTGATCAGTACCTAGGTGAGTAACTGTTTGGGAATGACAGGTGATGCAAACTTGGATGTGCGATAGGATGTAATAAATAATGGCTGAGAATTGGAAATCAGAGAGCAGTGTTCTAATTCCAGTTGGCTTTGTTATGTTCCCTTATGCACAAATACTTTTGGTGAAAGGCATGAATCCATCTCTTTTCCCATCAAGCTATAGGTTAATTAGTAGCACATATATCAGTAAATCCTTATTACCTTAAAAAAAAAAAAAAAAAAAAATTCTTACAATCTAAAAATATTTTTGGCTTTAAATAACCTACAAAGGGTTGATAAACCATAACAAAAACAAATCACTGACTCTTTCATATTAGAGTTCTCTCTCAATCAGTGAAAATGAGATTGGCCAGCATTAATATTAAATACACAATGAAGAACAAGCTCTGAGTCCCACAGCCGTTTTCCAGTCGAGACTTTGTTGGTTTTTATCAGGTGGCTTAATGAAAGGAAATTAGTGGTTCCTGGTTTTAAGATACAATTGAAATTTTATAAAAGAAATCACCAATTAAACCACTCCACTGGCATAAAAAGTTAATTAGGTTTAAAAAAAAAAAAAAAAAAAAAAAAAAAAAACCTTCAGCATATAAAATATTTTTGAGATTAGTAGTAATAGTAGTTGTTCTTCTTGACTAGATTCTCAACTTCAGTATGAGATCATGTTTTGATCAGTTAACCCTCCAACCTTCTTCAAGCATTCAACTTCATGCTCTAACCTTTGCCCCCAGTAACTTGGCTTCAATGAGTAGCCATTAAAGGGTGCTGTCAATCACCTATAAAAATGAGACACTTTCTGTCTTGGCCAATATCTCTCTTTTTCTTCCAGAACGCTTTAGGGGCAACACCACCAGGGCCTTGTTCCTGGGCATAGGAATATCCTCACCACACACTCAGTGGCTGAACTTTATTCTTTCTTTCTTTCACACACACCTCTTATTATCTTCCTTTTACATGTATGCTATGTATTTACTCTTGTTACTCAGTTATGTAAAAAGACAAAAAATACAAACTACCACCTTGCTGAAAGTCATTCTGTTCCCTTACACATGCCATTCACATGCATGTAAAATATTATTGCCAACTCTTTTAGGCTAACTATTAGTTGTGCCACAGCAATAGTTAATAACTTTCTTGGAATTTCAAACCAAACTGTTTATCAAGTACCAAGACAACTGTGTGTTACCCCCACTTGGCTTCACCAAAATGCCATTAGGTGGCACTGTTAAATAGCCATAAAAACAAAACACTTTATGTCTTCTTACTCTTTCTTCTAGCATGTCGTAAGTAGAAACAATGGCAAAAAAGACCGTGTGTACCACTTTAGTGTGTGTCCTACCAAACAGTTTCTGCTTTTTAATGTGTATCCTACCACTCCTACAGCATTGTCCAGACTTTTTTCTTGATATGTGAAAATATTCAGAATGTTTTTATTTTATTTAAAGAATTCGAATATCTTGTTTTATGATGTTTTTTTTTTTGTAAAATTTCTTATTTTATAATACGACAATAAATGGCATCCGTCCTTCAAGTTTTCCTTTTCCCCTTACATAGAATAATGTAGGATACAAATGGGGTGGTAGAATACATTGATCGGTAGGACACAAGAGGAACCAGTGTCCTGGGGGATATCTTTCTGCATATGACTGAACTTTCACTCAAACAATTCCCTACTTTTAATGTTTGCTATCTTTTACAAGCATACTCGAGTATTTTCTCTTTACGCCTGATGAAGAAAGAAGAATCGGTCAGCTAAAAATTAACACCAGCAAATATATGAAAAAGAAGAGGTTCAAATCTGATTTTATTTGTATTTTTCAATTGTTTGAGACATAGTCATACCTGTATCGCGGCCGCCTTTCGCCGCTCCTTAAACCAGAAGAGAACAGGTTATTTCGACCTTGACCTTTCGGTTGTGCTCCTTACACACTGTTAATTACATGATAGAGATTAGCAAATTACCTTTTCAGTTTAGTTGTATTACAAACCTAGTCATAATATACTTCTAAGAATTTTTAGGCCTTGGTTTTCTTGTAGCTAATCCTAACTTATTTTTTTAGATAGACTTTACTGTAATAGCTTACCAATTCTCTTGCTAGTCTCCCTCACCACAATAGTGACTTCTCGCTGAATTCAGGGTCAGTGACTGAAACGGTCGGTACACAGGCTCCTGGCCTCCGTGGTCAGGACGTCGACCACCGGGCTGTGTATTAAGTTACGCTCCCATTTCTTTTTGTCTGCCAACTTGACGATAGTTGGAAACTTTGCCTTCTCTCTCTACTTCGCCTCTTACTTCTGGCTCCTTGCCCATGTTCGACTCTCGGCATTCCATCCCTACTGGCTGCCTGCACGTCGTCCATAACCTTTCCCGTACACTACATTTGTAATTATTACGGGAGGTTTCTATATAAGACTCGACCAGCAGGCACGCAACGCCAGCACGGGATTTTTGACATGCCCGAACAACATCGCAACTCCAGCTCCTCTTTCCTTCCCGACACGTCAAGTTGGCATCCCTACGACGACCAGCAGTGATCATCTGTAACGACCAGCAATGACCACCTGCATGACCAGCAGCAATCATCTGCAACGACCAACCTCGACCATTAATGCCTGCACCGGAACGTCAGCATCTCTACCTTTCCGAACACCTTTATTTTCTTTATTTCTTTCTAGAATAAATTAGCATATCCTCGTTCTGTCGTCTGTGTTGTTTCACCTTGTCAGATTTAACGTCTCCGAAATGTTAATGGACCTCTTGTGACCTCATCACCTTTTTGCAATACGGGGGCACTCAGGGGGGTCCGCTACACCTGCTTTAGTTTTTTTTTAAGATGAATATATTAACTTCGTCAGTGGTAAACAGGTAAAAAACCTTTCTTTATCAATAATAATAGAAATTGTAAAAATTAAGTCCTACTTTATCAATCAAAGGATATTCAATGTAAAATAAAATATGATGGTGAAAGTTAAAGTAACTAGTTAGTAGCCCTAATTCGTTTCAAAATGCACAAAATTCAAACAAGATAATAATTATGCTTGACTGGACTTAAGTTTACTAACTACAAAAAAATTAAATATACAAAAACAAAAGCATTTTATAAAAGTGAAGTTTGCATTTATTTTAAACTAAGAAGTAATAAACTCTGAACTGTTGGAATGTGGAGATATACATGTGCCTAAATTGATTTTTTTTTTTGCAATAATCTTTTGATTTTATTTTCTAAAAAAAAAAAAAAAAACATGTAAATTTTTATGGACAGAAAAAAAAAAAAAGAGAAAAAAATATCAATACATGTGATGGACAGATTATTATTATTATTACAGAAATCAATTTGCGTTGATTCTCTGTGCGTTTATTACACACACACACACACGCACTTATTAAAATGTGTTTTTTTAAGTATACACTCCAGAGTTTTGATAAAAAAATAGGTCAAAAAAAAAAAAAAAAAAAAAAAAAAAGGTTGGGACACCCTACTTGTAAAAAAGGTCTTTTCATCAATCGGTGATTAGGGTTTTTTTGGGGGTGGGTTTTTTTTTTTTTTTTTAAGCTGATCAGGCGGCATAAAAGCTTTTTTTTTTTTTTATGACTAGAAAAATAAATCTTCCTACGCATGCATTGAGAAATCCACTCAAAAAAAATATAAAAATCACTACACAGTACAACACTGCATTTATTTAAGCAAGCATGATGCAATATTGCAATAAACGTTGTTTTTATTTTTTTTTTATTAAATAAAGAATTTTGGGGAGCACGTCTCATAATTACAAGTTTACACTTTATTTAAAAGTTTGACAGCACACTTAGTCGAAGAAATTTTGAGTTTAATTTAATAACAAAAATAAAAGTAGTAATTTTTCATCCCGATTTTTGTTAAGTGTTCTTAAATGTCTGGCGCGGGACAGATTGCAACTGATTGTACTAATAAGGGATCTAAAACAATGAAAGAAAGCAGTGATTATTATTAGTAGCACTTCTCGTCAAACCAACAATCATGTCTTAATTTTTAAATTTTTAGTTTGATCCACACTACTAAAGAAAAATTTAACACCTCGCACTTGTTTTATTATTTTTATTTATTTTTTTTTTTTTTTTTTGATGGATCAATTTAAAAGCGAAATATTCTATCTATCACTAGTGGGACGTTTAAATAAACAAACATTAAAAAGGGCTACAACAGTAACACACTTCTTAAAAGTGTAAGTGTACTGTAGTGTAATCCATTGTTCAGTGTACTACACACACACTAGTACACTGGTCGGCGATGGAGAAAAAATGTTTATTCTGGGGTCATTTCATCTTTAGTCTTTCTTTAAAATTTACGATTATGATGAGCAGGAAAAAATGCATATACACGTGTGTTTACTGTTTAGAGATCAAGGCAAAAATGAAAGCCCATAAAAGACAAATTATTATTACACCTTTTTTTTTCTAACGTTTTAGTTTTTGGTCTTTTTTTTTTACTCTCAAAAAAGCCATATGTCATGCAATTCTGGACTTTTAAGGAATTGTCTTCTTAAAAACTAAGTAATAAGCTTAAACACTGGAGTTAAAATACGTAAACGAACATGACACGTAACGTAATGGATCTTCTTCTATCTCATTTTAAAATTTACTGGTTTTCAATTAATTAAATTATTTAATTTATTGTCTTATTGGATGAGATGAGAAAGAAATTGGGGGTTAAGATTAAGAACATCAGATATGTTCTTAAACCCCCTTCTTTCTCACCTCATCCAATGACAAAAGAAGTAAATTTAATTTTTAGAATTGATCATGTTTGGTTTACAGTATTTACAAAAAAATTAAAAAAAATAAGAAAATTAATCAACTCAGAACAGAAACACTTCTTACATCAAGATTTGAATTTGAAGGTGTGGGGAAGGATTATTAACTTGTTTCAATTTGTTTCTCTTTCATCATCGTTCGTATCTTTTGTTCACAAATAAGTTTAGAACAGATTGCATTGCAGTTGATGGTAACGCTTTTAAGAGTTTTATTGTGAATGTTATTTAAATTATTACCAAAGTTATACAATGAATACGTCACGGTGATTATTACCAGAAGCTAAAAGTTTAAAGTTTAAACTTTAATTTTTCTAAGTATTGGGGGGGCGTAAGGATTTCATAATTTGAAAAACATCTTTAAATTTATTACTTTACTTAATAAATAAAAATGGGATTTAACTTATTGGATTCGAAAACATTTCTTTCTTAAAGTGAAAAATTTAGAAAAGAAATTTCTCACTTCTTTTCTGTGAAGAGAAGAGAAAAGTGTTTTCTTTCTGTATATCGACTACTACAACTTACATAATTCTCTCCGGGTGCTTTTTGTTTAAATGTTGTTGACATAGTGATTGGTGGTACAACCATCCTAGAATTCCATTGATCCGGATCCTGACCGACATGGATTGCATCTGTTCCAAAATGCTCAAAAAATTTCCCAAATGTTTCCGACGACATCTTTCTCAGTCTTTATCCTCCCGGTGAACGCGCACAGACTGCCATCCGCTTCGCATATCCAAATTTATACCAAAAAAATGCACCAATCCGAATGAAGATAAACGAACACACCTACGTTTCATATGTTATGCGTTGTGTGTGCAAAGAGTTGAAAATATGTTTTTCACACAAGCAAATAAAAATATGTACTGCAAATGCAAGAACCCAAAAAGAAATACAGGAGAATGAAAGCAGCAAAAAAAAAGGAAAAAAAATTTATTTAGCAGCAAAACTGAAAAAAAAAAAAAGTAACTAAAAAAACGCAAACATGCTGCTGGTGACCTGATCAAAATACTTTTTTTTTTAGTTTTTAAATCTTTACGGATTTTCCTTTAAGTAAAAAAAAACATATGAGTTGTTTATTTCTCAATAAAACAGACTTCCCAGTACTTGGATGTTCCTGCTTATCAAATTATTGTATGTATATATGAGAGTGATTCATTAACCGTAGATGTGGCACAAGGCCGCAAGTATGGAGCACCTATTGAAAATCTAACTCGACATTACTCAATCGTAATTGAGCGAGACATTTTAAACCACATTAATGTACTAGATTAGAAGTATCTTATAAAAATTATGGAAGAGTTCAACTCAAATAAAAATTAAATAAATTAAAATTTAAAAAATGTGGAAGCTATTTATTTACTTACCCACCCCCCATACCCTTCGCCAACCTACACCCAACATGATAGTATGTGTGATCTAAGGTTACAATGTGTAGCCTCATACGCATACATGTGGGTGGGGCTGGAAATTATCTAGGTAGTTCTCTTTCAATATGCCTCAGTTGTCAAGGATTGACCCTGACCTCCCGACCCTATTAAGTGCAAGAGAGAAAGTGATGGGGTCGGCCAACCCTTGAAACTGAATTTTGGGTTATTTTTACCTCAGCTCAGATGATAAGCGTAATTTAGTTCTGGCACAAGGCCACAAGTATGGGGCACCTGGTGCTTAATACTAATAGTAATGATTGTCAAAACCAGCCTGTTAACCATTACACAACAAAGCACTCTTGTAGAGTAAACTCACTTACCTAATTAAAAAAATGCCACTAGGGGACACTTTCTGAACCTACACTGAAATATTTTTTATCATTTTTTTTTTCCTTTTTCACTCAGAGACAGTAAGATATAGGTCAAACAAGGAAAACGCTCTTCTGACGGTCAAAAATACATAGATTTAAATAAAATGAATTTTGGAATGTTTACCAGTTTTAATTCTGACATAAAACTTACAATTGGATTGAGAAAAACTGACTGACAAAATATGTTTAGAAATATTCTTGCTGCATAAATACACCTTATTTAAAATATATAAATGTATAATAAATATACAGTTTGTTTGACCTTATTTGGTACAACTCTGAGTTTGATGAGTTGTGTCAAATGGTGACAGACTAAATGTATATTTACTAGTAGTATATATTTTAGCTCTGTTTTTATACATCAAGCACTATTTTATCACTCACTATGCAATACTCTCTCTCTCTCTCTCTCTATATATATATATATATATATATATATATATATAGTATAATTATTTTTTTAAAAATATGATTCCTTCGCTACATAAGAGTTCTCATGTTTCAAAAACAAGAGCCAAAAACCTCAACAGGGCTTGATATTTTAATTCAATTTAATTTTAATAATTATATTGAGTTTTTTGTCACTTGTTTTTGAAACATGAGAACTCTTATGTAGCAAAGGAATTATGTCTTTTTTAAAATAATTATAATTTAAGCTCTACTTCTGTATGGAGCACTGTTTTTTAAAAATAAAACAAAAATACTAAAGAACTCCAGATTATTTACCTAATATGTCCTTTCCTATTTTTGTATATATTGCTCACACACACACACACACACACACACACACACACACATATATATATATATATATATATATATATATATATATATATATATATATTAAAGAAAAATAGACCACTTTAAAGTTCCATTATAATAATTTATTTCACCAGAGCCCTTTTGAGGGATGCTGGATCATCAGATAACACTTCAAAAAAATGAAACGAAAGATGAAATGAAAATTCACACTTTTTTCATTTCATCTTTTGTTTAAATTGGATTTAAACATGTATCAATATGGTGATTTCCTTTCATCTTTCAATGATAATGTTATTAAGCTTATCAGACAATATGAAAGGAACTTACTTAAAATAAATAGACAAAATTTGTCTATATTATTTAATGAAACATGCATTAACATATATATGTGTGTGTGTGTGTGTGTATTTACCACTAATATTAGCTATATATATATATATATATATATATATATATATATATATATATATATATATATATATATATTTTGTATGTATGTATGTATAAGCAGAGGGTGTTGAAAAGTTTTCAAACTCGCCAAGAATGAATTCTAAAATGGGTTCTGATATCTTGTCAGATTTTGTAAAGTTGGTTGCCCTAAGGACTTTACATTAGCTCTTCACATCTAGTTTTTCCTTGTTTATATTCAATGGTACCATTTAAAGAATTTTATTCAAAAGATTTCACATATTTGCACATAATAACTTATATACTGTAGTGATCTGTAAATGAATGCCTAATTAGCATAGCTAAAGCACAGATACTATATAAGTGCCCAAGCAGTAAGAAGAGGGGCAGAATACAATGTCCAAGATTAACACTGACCACTGGACTGAGAAAATACAAAGGAAATCACATTTCATGACAAATACATAATCATGTCAGCTGTTGGAATCAAATGAATAGCAAAAAGGCAATTCAAACTTTCTGTAATTCCAGAACCAAAGTGAGAGGGCTCAAGTTTAGTCCATGAGATTGCTTCACAGTGTACAAGCTCATTTCTAACTGAGTAATCCCACAGAAGTGTGTCTACAAATGGTCCCCCCACCCACTTTTATTGGTTACCAAGTTCAAGGACTGTGCATACTACCTTTGAACCCTGCAACAGGGGAGGGCAAGCCAGATTGTGGGCCCCGGGCAGTGCTTTGTGACCTTTTCTATCTTATCAACATCTACTTTTTTTCTACCTCCATTTATATACAATACAAATTAAACTAAGCACAACTGACTATTAAAGGATGAAAAAATTTGTCCTGATTTTGACATAATTCAAGGTTCTTTTTTTCCTCCAAATCCGTAAATTTGTTTTGCTCATGCTAAGTATAAAAAAAAATACTATATAAAATTTTATCCATAATGTTGAATGTGTTAAAATAATTCAACTTTTAAACAAGAAAAGTCTCAAGATGATGTTAAAAATTGCCACAAAAACATTGTTGATTTATTTAAGATAGAATGATCTATTATAACATGTCTCTAATTTGTATTAAGATACACTGTATTTATTTTCAATTTTTCTAGTTGAATTGTCACCTATATTGCATATGATCCATTATTGTACATAATTAGGTTACAATGAATTTGTATTTTATATGAATACTACCTTATGAAAATTGGGAGTGAAGATCCCTGTATCATAGATTTGGTGGGTCCTCACAAGACCCTTGATCCAGCCCTGGCCAATTTTTGAATTCAGTCCATCTTTTAGACTGGTTGCTAAACAAGGTTAGTGAGCCCAGTCTGTCTTATTATTTTACTCATACCTGAGAGAGAAGAGACAGATTCATAGGGCATTAATGCAAAGTGATTACAATAACTTTGGCTGGTGTTTGAATTCGGCTTACCAATTCCATTTTCCATACTGATAAATGTTGTACCACCTGCACATTTAAACTTTGCTAAGATTTATAAAATATTTATCATATCAATTGAAAAGAGATTCATTTAATTTATAATTAATTAATTATCAATTATAATACATTATAACTTGTGGCTTTATTAGATTCTTAATTAATATATTAATCATCAATTGGAAATAAAATATTTATCACATCACCTCTCTGCGGCTTCTCGGTCTCAAGTTGACTGCTGACCTGAGATGGAATAAATACATTGAGTCAATTGCTTCATCCACCGCAAGGAAAGTTGGCTCCCTGCCAGAAGTTTTCCTCCCGAAGTTTCCTCCAGATCTACAAATCAACAATTCGCCCTTGCATGGAGTATTGCTGCCATATATGGTCTAGTGCCCTTCTGTTTGCCTCGGGGTTCTTGATAGGCTCCAGAGGCGGATATGCAATGTAGTTGGCCCTGCTCTGGCATCTCGTCTACAGTCACTTTCTCAGACGTCGCACCTCTCTCTGTCTATTCTACAAATACTTTCATGGCAATTGCTCCGAGGAGCTGCATTCGCTGGTTCCCAGACATCATGAGTTCAAGCGCCATATGAGGCTGGCATCCCACTCTCACCCCTTTACTGTCAAAACTCCTAAATGTAGCCGTCTCTTCTACTCCAATAGCTTCATGTCTCGCACCTCTCACCTGTGGAACCCCCTTCCCTATTCCTGTTTCCCTGTGAGCTATAATCTCCAGCTATTCAAGTGTAATGTCAATCGACATCTCCAGTTGCCTTGATCTATCCACTACCCTCATCCTTTCTTCTATCACTCCTATCTGATCTTGCTCTAAATTTTCTGTAACCCCTTGCAATCCTAGTGGCTTCCCCCATTGCTAGGGGTGAAATGCTTAAAAAAAAAAAAAAATTGGAAAGAGTGAATTACAAAATATATTCTAAAAAATATATGAATCGAGTTTAAAAATAATCTTTCAAAATCAATAAGTAACTAAAAGCAAATATAAAACCTTATTTTATGATCTGTCATCAAGCCACATATCGCTTTCATATAGACCTTACATACAGGGTGTCCATAAACTCTATGGACACCCTGTATAGACCTTACATATAGACCTTTCATATAGACCTTACCACTTGCTAAAATTAAAATAT